CTCTCCCACATCGATGTTTCTCTCTCCCTTCCTTCCTCTCTTTCTAAAATCAATAAGCATATCATTGGGTGAGGATTAAAAAAAAAAAGAATTCCTACAAAGCGGTAGAGAAAAGACAATCTAATTAAAAATGAGTAATAGATTTGAACAAATATGTTACAAGGTTTCAAATGGCAAGTAAACAAATAAAAATACATTAAAAGGTGCTCAACTTCCTTAATCATGAGAGAAATGCATATTAAGCCACCATGAGATGCCTCTACAAACCTACTATAAGACTAAAATTAAAGAGATGGAAAATACCACGTACAGATGAGATGTGGGGCAAGCAGACCCCTCATACACTGCTATGAGAATGCCTCTTCCCATTGCTCTGGAAAGCTGTTTCACAGTGTGTACTAAAACTTAACATATGTATAGCCTATGACCCAGCAATTCTATTCCTACAATATAACCAATAAAAATACTTATATATGGTTACCAAAAGACATAGAATACTCATTGCAGCACTATGCAAAAATAGTTGCAAACCAGAAACTGCCCAGGTGCCCATAAGCAGTAGAATGAATGAATATATACATACACATACTTATACAAATAATAAAACATAAAAAATGTGGTGTATTCACACAATGGAATACAATATAGACTAGAGAGTAAAAAGAATTTATACACCACAGTATTGATGAATCTTGTCAACATGGAACAAATAGAGCCAATAATAAAAGAATATATAACTACATGCTTCCTTTTATATAGAATCCAAAAACAGATTGAAGTAATTTATGTGTTTAGAAGTTAGATTTTGAAGAGGCAAGTAGTGACCAGAAGGGAACATAAAAAGGTTCCTTGTTGCTATTATTCTGTTTCTTGATCTAAATACTGGTTACATGATAAAAAGTGTGAAAATTTACCAAGTTGTACCTTTGATGTGTGCACATATGTAATATATATTTGATAAAAAGTAAACTATAGGTAACGTGAGTGAAGAGATGGAAACTGTAAGAAAGAATCAAAAGGAAATGCCAGCAATCAAACACACCGTAGTAGAAATGAGGAATGACTTTGCTTGACTTATCAATAGACTGGACAAGCTCAAGGAAAGCATCAGTGAGCTTGAAGAATTGTCAATAGAAACTTCAAGTATGATATCCAGAGAGAAAAAAAGAATGAAAAGACAGGACAGGTATTCAAGAACTGTGAAACAATTAAAAAGGTGTAACGTTTGTGTAATGGGAATACCAGAAGGAGGAATAAAGAGGAAACATAAGGAATACTGAAGCAATAATGACCAACAGTTTCCCAAAACCAATGATATCATCAAACTGTAGATCTGGGAAGCTCAGAGAACACCAAACATGAAAAACACCAAAAAATATACATCCAGGCATATATTATTCAAATGGCACAAAATCAAAAGAAAACAAAAAAACGTTGAAAGAAGCCACAGGAAAAAAATCATCTCAACTAAAGGAGAATAAGAATAAAAATTATATTGGACTTCTTTTCAAAAACTATGAAAGTAAGAAGACTGAAGTGAAATATTAAAGATATTAAAAAAGAATCATCAACCTAGAATCCTACACTCAGTGAGATTATTTTTCAAAAGGGAGGGAGAAATAAAGTCTTTCTCTGACAAACAAAATCAAGAGCATCTGTCACCAGCACACCTGCCTCATAAGAAATGTTAAAAGAAGTTCTTCAGAGAAAAGGAAAATGATACAGGCAGAAACTTGTACCTATATTAAAAAAGAAAGAACATGAGAGAAGAAAAACGATAAGGGGAAAAAATAACATTTTATTTCTCTTACGGTTAAGTAATCAATAGGTAACAGTTTGTTCAAAATAATAATATATGCAGTGATTATAGCTTATGGATAAATGAAATGAATGAGAGCAATATCATAATGAATGGGAGGGAGGAATCAGGAAGACTGTTATAAGGGACTTGAATTCCCCACGAAGTGGTATAGTACTATATGAAAGCGGACTTGGAATAGTTTAAAGGTGTATTGAAAACTCTAGGACCACCACTAAAAACAGTAAAAAAAAAAAAAAAAAAGCATAATTTATATGCTAAGAAGGGAGAAAGAAGTTGGAATCCTACTAAGTGCTCAATTAAAAGCATAAGACAAAAAAGCACAATCCGTAGAATAAGAAAACCAATAAATTTGAATTCAATTAAAATGAAAAATTTACGCTCTACAAAAGACACTATGAAGAAAATAAAAGTCAAGTCACAGACTGAGAGAACATCTCTGCAAAACACATACTGATAAAGGGCTGATATCCAAAATATACAAAGAATTCTTAAAACTCGAAAAAATGAAACATACAAGCCAATTAAAAAAATGGCCGAAAGATCTAACAGATATCTCACCTAAAACACACACACACACACACACCTCCCCCCCACACCCAGATATAATATAGGCATAGGAAAAGATGCTCAACATATATCATTATGTAAATTAAAATTAAAACAAAGAGACTACAACACGCCTACTAGAATGTAGCTAATCCAAAACACTGACAACACCAAATGCTATTAAGGATGCACAGCAACAAGAACTCTCATCCACTGCAAGTGGAAATGCAAACTAGTACAGCCACTTTGAAGATACTCTGGTAGTTTCTTATAAAACCAAACATACTCTTACCATACGATCTAGCAACTGCATTCCTTGGTGTTTGCCCAAGTGAGTAGAAAGCTTAGACCCACACAAAAACCTGCACATGGATGTTTATAGCAACTTTATCAACAGGTGAATAGATAAACAAGCTATGGCAGACCCATAAAATGAAATGTTATTCAGGAGTTCATTAAAAAAGAGCTATCAAGTCACAAAAAGACATGGAGGGAACTTGAGTGCATATTGCTGAGCAAAAGAAGACAATGTGAAAAGGCTATACACCATATGATTCCAATTATATGACATTCTGGAAAAGATGAAACTATGGAGATAGAAAAAAAAAAATAAAATAAAATCAGTGCTTGCCCGGGGGTCAGGGAGAGGAAGGGAGGGAGGACCAGGAGAAGCACAGAGGAATTTCAGGGCAGTGAAACTACTATTTTGAATGACACTGTAATGGTGGATATGTTTATTATAAATTTGTCAAACTCATAGAATGCACAACAAAAAAAAATGGACTGTAATGTAAACTACAGACTTTAGTCAATAATAGTGTTAGCGTATCAATTGTAACAGCAGTACTATGCTAATGTTAGAAACAGAGGAAATCCGGGGGTGGGTGGGGGATATATGGGAAATCTGTGGTTTTTTATAAACTTAAAATTGCTTCTCCCAAAATAAAGTCTATTAATTTAAAAAGATAAACTATAATATATACTTTTCTTATATCAAAGTAACTAGTTAACAAGTTTCTTTGAGAAAATGTGAATAATAAGAAAGAAAAATATAGATAAGAAGGCTTTAGGTTAAATTACTGGTGAATTTTGAGTATCATGATTCAAGAACGGTTTAGATGGCACTACAGCAAATTTTCATAATAAAATGTTGGTGAAAGCCCTGGATGGGTAGCTCAGCTGGATAGAGCTTTGTTCCTGATTCACCCAAGCTGTGGGTTTGATCCTGGTCAGGGCACATACAAGAATTAGCCAACAAATGCAGAAATAAGTGAAACAACAAATCAGTGTCCGTCTGTCTGTCTGTGTTTCTCTCCCCTCTCCCCCTTCCTCCCTTCCTCTCTCTAAAATCATTTAAGGAAAAAAAAAGTAGGTAGAATATGGCCTATACATATGGTTAACTATGTGAGCGGTAAAGACCGATTTCTCTATACCTGCAGCTTACATTCTGAGAAAGAGATGAGCCCACAGCAGTTTGATGATAAATTAAAAATAAAGTATTGGCCATAAGTTCTTTCATTCCTTTTTTGGTCTTTGCTTCTTTAAAGTGCTTTTATCTTATTTTGTTTTATTTGTACTATTTATTTATTCATGTGGGTAGGCAAAAGACAGTAAGAACAAACTTAATTTTAATGTGACAGTGTATTACCTCCATTTATTTCCCCATACTTTACAGAGAAGGTGGAATGCTTTGCTGTGGCAAGCCCGGCACGTGAAAATGAACAGCTTTATCCAATTCGGCCCTACGTAAATAACTTTCATTGTACGTAGGTAAACATTGAGTGATGCAGTTGAAAGAGAGACCTTATTTTTGTCAAAACAAGCATAAAACAATTAATACAGCATATATGGACAGACATGGAAGCACGTTTATATTTCTGGGAAGTTCAACTAATGGTTGTATGAACTGATGAACATGCTAAGAACAACTGTACCATACTCTGTATGGTCAGAAACTTAATTCTTATTAATTGTCATATTTCCAAGGTGGTACATAATAAGGTCAAACAGTTTTGCTGAGTAAGTGAATGAATGAATGAACAAAGTGTATTTGTCCCCTACGAGGGGAGAATCAACCAATTGATTTAACTACAAATTGAAAGATGTACACACATACACACATACGTAACACCGGAGGACTTTTTTCCCCCATTACTTTTAGAGAGAGGAAGGGAGAGAAGGGGGGAGAGAGAGAAAGAGAGAGAAAGAGTTGGGGGGGAGAGAGAGAGACATAGATGTGAGAGAAAAGCATCAACTGGTTGCCTTCTCATATGCACCCTGACTGGGGATTAAACTCGCAACGTGCCCTGACAGGGAATCAAACCCACAAACTTTTCGTCCATGATACGATGCTCCAACCATCTGAGCCACACTGGCCAGGGCTGACAGATATTTTAGCTAGGTTTAGCTTGCTCCAAATTTGATTCCTATCAATCGCTCCCTTCTAGAGCTTTGAGTGCAAGGCACATGTGCTTGGGAAATGAGGTATATGAGCATGAAAACAGACTTTACCAAATCCAGGTAATTGCTACGTGATATTTAAAATTGGTCAGAATTTCACAGAAGAAAGAATTAGCAAAACAGATGTTTTTCCTTCTCATGTTTAGTACAACTTAGAAAATAAACCTTTTACCTTATGAGATCTTCTTCATCTTCTCTTTTTGGCCTTAGCTGTTTGGGTTGAGCCATATTAATCCAGTTTGGCAGAGATTTCAAGAGTCTGCTGATATCATCATCTTTTGCCCAAGATGCACTGATGACAAGTTTTTCTTCCGATTGGACAATGCCCCTAAACACAACCGACAGAACAGAGACACGTCAGCATGCTGCTTCCTCTCTGGTTAGCATTCTTCATCTACTTCTGCTGCACAGAAAAGATACCTCACCCCTCTCTCTTATTAACATGATCCATTACCTGGGTTGGGGGCAGTGGTGCATTTTAACAGGTCACGTTCTGGGAACAATCTTTTCTAGATTTCATTCTTAGATTCTTCATTGTTGAGTAATCATGAAAGCTAACAAAAAGGTACAGTAGGTTTTGGAAGGATCTTTCAAGGAAGATATTAAATAAGGTGGAGTAACCATATAGAAGAACGTTTTTAAATGGCAACATGAACGGTACCTGAAAGGTGACTGTTACAAAGGGTTGTCCTTTGACTTCTTGGTTTAAATTACGAATTAGTTCTACTTGAAGTTACTTTTTGAACTATGGACACCCTGGTATTCAAAGCAAATCTGCCATCACAGGGACACTTTCTGCCCTGATGTCAGGCAGAGAGCCTTTGAGGGCTGCTCTGTGCAGTGGGCTTTGACTAGTGACCTGGAGCTGACAGGCTTCAACTCCTTTAATAGGGCCCATGGGTTGGCTGTGACCACTGCTCTTACCAGAAAGAAAGTCATCTGAAATGTTCACTTTCAGCTGAATTAAAAAGCTGCTCTTTCTATTCAACATTTCTGTTCCCATAGCTAATTTGAATGGTCTAAAAATCTTCATCAGCAATGCCAGGTGACAGAAATGACAGTTATTTAGGAAGGGAGTGCTAATTAGCCGGCCCCCCCTCTGAAGCTGAGCGAGGCTGCAGGGGGCTTCCCTCCGGCAGGGCAGGGATCGATCTGGGACAGGGGGCAGTTACAGTGCAGGGCGCCCCACAGTTCTACCTATGCGACTCGTGTAGGCGGCACATGCACGTTATGTGCGATGAAACCCCCTTCACCCAGGAGACGGTTTAATGTTTGTAGACAAAGGAGGTCGAAGCGAAAAACCTTGGATCATGACAACCTGACTCAAGGTGACATGTCTCCTGTTGTAGGAGGCAATATTGCCCTGTTTTCTGAAAATAAGCTAGAAGAAAAGAGAACCACTGTCAATCCTAGAATTCTTCTCACCATAAGCAAAGGTTTTCTAACAGTAACTATGGTTAGTGATATAAAAAAGAGACTCTCAAATTACTCACACTTTTACCTTCAATTCCTTGTTTTCCCCTTGTTATATTCTTGCATTGTTTCTGAAGTATTTAGCGATCAATCCCACAGTCTAACTTTTGCACATTTGTACTCGGGGTGCGGCGCGCAGTGGTACAGAGTGGTACCGCCCCGCATTTATGATGTGCAGTGCTGAGGGACCCTCCATGCTCCCTGGTCTTCCTTTTACCTGCCTCTGATCAACTTCCTCTCCCATTTCCCTCAAAGACTATTTCTAACATCTTTGCCCTTCATTAATCTCCTCATTGCGTACTCTCCCTTCTTCCTATGTGACAGAGAAAGGAGGGGATCTTATATACTTTCACACATTCCCCCTCCAACCGCCACAGGTGTATGTTCAAATCTGTTTCATCCTCAATCACTTCCAGTAATCTCTCTACCTAGGTTTTTGGGGATCATTTCTTCCTCTGACTATCCCCTTCTTTTCCTTTACATCGAGTACAGTAGTCCCCCGCTTAACCACGGTTTTAGCTTTCTATGGTTTCAGTTACCCGCGGTCGACAGTGGTCTGAAAACATTAAATGGAAAATTCCAGAAATAAATAATTCATAAGTTTAAACACTGCCCACTGCTCTGAGTAGCGCGATGTGATTTGTCCCTTTGTCCTGCGTCTCCAAACTGTAGACATTCCCCACCCATTAGTCCCTGGAGCTGTCTCAGCTTTCAGACCAGCTGTCTTGGTACCACTATGCTCGTGTGCAACAAACCCGTTCTTTACTTAATAAGAGCCCTGAAGCGCAAGAGAAGTGATGCTGGCAATTCAGATATGCCAAAGAGAAACCATTAAGTACTTCCTTTAAGTGAAAAGGAAGTTCTCAACTTAGTAATGAAAGAGAAAAATTATATGCTAAGGTTGCTAACATCTAGGATAAGAAGGACTCTTCTACCTGTGAAATTGTGAACAAAGGGAACAAAAAAAGAAATTCATGCCAGTTTTGCCATTATACCTCTAACTGTACGAGGTACGGCCACAGTACATGGTAAGTGCTTAGTTAAGGTAGAAAATACATCCAATTTGTGGGTGGAAGACATGAACAGAAAACATGTACTGATTGGCAATGTGTTGTGCCAGAAAGCATCGAGCCTGCACAAAGACTCTGACAAGGGGTCCCCTGAAATGAGTGACACTCAGTCATTTACTGCAAGTAGGGACGGTTCCACAGATTCAGGAACTATATGGTTCTATTGTATTATTACTTATTGTTGTTAATCTCTTACTGTGCCTAACTTATAAATCACACTACATCATAGGTACATATGTATAGGAAGAAACATAGCACATAGTGGGTTGGGCACTATCCACGGTTTCAGGCGTGCACTGGGGGCCTTAAAATGTATTTCCTGCAGACACCAGGGAACTATTAGATCTCTCTCTCTCTATTCTCCAACCCAAGGTTTTTCAAAAAATGAATGAATGAATGAATCTCTCCTGTGATCCAGCACGTCTCTTTAGGGAAGCTCCCTCCTTCCTTCACGGACACTGTCATCGAATGCGTGACCTTCACTTGGCGGCTCCACTTGCTCACGTCTCACTTTTAAATTCATGAAATCTCTCTGCAGGATATGCGCTACGATTTCACCCACCCATTGCTTCTTGAAGATTTTCCAATTGACATGTTTTTTATTGCCATATTTCCTATTTAACTCTTTTACAAATCTATGCCAAAATGTCCCATTCTTGTATTATGGATTCTATTCCTTTGACTCTTTGAGTATTGGAAAACAGCAGTTTTAAAGCTCTCTTCACAGGGCTCTATATTTTGCAGTAGTTCTTTGGATGTCAAATGTCCTGTGTGTTGCATTTCCCTTCCCTTTGCATGACAGCGCGTTTTCTCACGTGGTCTGTTGTTTTGTTCTGCAAGCTCTACTCATCAAGCGTAACCTTGGCTCCTCCCTTAGGAGAGCTGACTCCTCTCTTCTGTGCCTCATCACCCTTATACCAGAGGTTTTGTATCTTGACTGCACATTGGGATAATCTGGGGAGCTTTTAAGAAAAACTAGATGCCCAGGCCACACCCAAGACCAAATAAATAAGACTCCCAGAGGATGAGACCCAGGCATCATAATTTTTAAAAGTCTCTCAGGTGATTCCAGTGTGAGGTGGAGAGTGAGAATCACTTCCTTACACATAACCTCCACTCTCACTGGTCCCACGACACCTCTGTACAATTTGAGATCCCATACAGAATGACGGGTTTTCTGAGGATGGGGCTGGCATCTTCTTAGTTCTTGTGTCTGCGGGGCCTCGCGTAATACCTGGTATTGGGCAAGTGTGTAAGAACTGAACTAGAGACAGAAATAAGCCTTCTTCAGTTTTAGGAATCTAGGTAACATGTTAACCTAAAACCAACTGGGTGGCTTCCTTTACTACTTCCCTCTACTAAATGACTTAGGTGAGCTAACAAGCCATTTGGCATTTTGACCAAATTACAGATCGCTCCGCCAGGCTTTCACCATACCACTTGGACTTTAATAAAAACCAGACTAATGGATAAAGGTGTGCCCCCCACCCTCTGAAAAAAATCCAACATAAAAAAGTCCTGACTCGCAAAACACAGGAGCCAAGGAGTGATGACTGACAAGCCTTCCCCTTCTACCACTTAGTCCCAGGTGGCCTGTCATTGGAAGGTCTCCTCCAAGTCTTGCTTTCTCTGTGAAGAATCTGTTGACCGTGTCAGCCTTCAGTAATCTCTCCCTTTGAAAAACAATCAAACAAAAACCCTTCTTTTATACTTCTCACCTATAACTTCACAATTAGAACTTTGCCCTATACGACAGGTTGGGCAAACTATGGCCTGTCAGTCAAATCTGCCCCATCAGCTGACTTTGTGTATCCTATAAACTATAACAAGTGTTGACATTTAAATTTTTTTTTAAATCAAAAGAAGAATATTTTGTGACATGTTGGAAGTTATATAAAATTTAAATTTTAGTGTCTATTTCTAGAAAGAACTTTGGCTGGGTGGCTCAATGCCTCTTCTACCCACACACTACAGGTCAAATTCTGCTGTGCAGAATTAGAAGCCCAAACTTAACTCAGTTCTCCAGCCTCTAGGCCTTTGAGCCCATCCATTCTGGCCCAGATCTGGCCCAGATCTGCCCCAGGGTTCAATAAACAGTTTGGGCCTAAGGTATGAGGTGGCACTGCACAATTTGGGAATCCAGAATTTTTCATTTTAGCACCAGCTGGAATGAAAAATATTAGCTCAGTGGGATACTTCGTTAAAGGCACTCACATTATTTACTTATGTATTTTTTGAAAGACTGGATCAATTCAGTAATTCAAGTACTATATTACTGCCTTTGCTAATATTCATTGATCCAGTCTTATTAAAAAAAAAAAAGGAATCCAAATTAACTAACATGCTACCTATATAGTGCCCTCAATAATAAATTATTAATTCATATTGGAATGAACATCAATTCCAAATGCAATTCCCAATATTCCAATTTGAAATACTGGCATTGATTAGCAACATACAATTACCCTAAAAGAAATTTTTCATTCAAATGGCAAGTTCCTATCCTGACCAGCTGCATTTATTGGTTTATAATTTTGTGCTAAACTGGAATGTGTGGGCTACGAAATTCCAGGACATATCCAAATAGCTTCAAAAAAGGAGAGCTAAATCTCCAACAATTATTCCACAAGAGGAGTAGGGTTAATTACCAGTACCAGAACCATAATCTACTAATTAATTCACAGCTCAATGGACCACAGACAGTCCCATCTGTGTAACTATTTGTACCTGTTCCCAGGAGGAAGAGGAAAATAGGTATACCTCTTGGAACAGGTGATAAGGCTGC